TCTCTCACTCACTCACTCACTCACTCACTCACTAATCATGTATTCTTCAGCAAATTCAATGGGAATGCCTTTCCAAATGAATTACCCGCCATTGAATCGGTTGCGGAACTTCATGTCCAGTCGACTATTTGTAGTGATAATAGCGATGTTTGGCTCGTTCTTCGTGGGAGCGGTCAGTGTATCGCTTGTACTCTATTGGCTCATCAAACGGCGCCGGGAGAGGCAGGTTGTGCGCGGCCGACGGCGGCCACACCCGGCCATTATGATCGACGACACCGATGAGAGCCAATACGAGCGGCCACTCGACGATTACTCCTCCCTCCGGATCAGCGCTGTTAGCGGTTATAGCAATGAGATAATGAATCCGATGTACGAAGACTTTGAGAAGTTTCACAAGTCGTTGGGTCTGTCGATGGATGACTTGAAACCACACACAGAGTCCGACAAAATCACTTGATTTGTCCGTACATTGAGATTGCATTGCAATTAATGTTTGGTTTTACTCTACAATGAATACAGTGTTATATTTTTGTGTGTAAAATATGTTTTACAGAATAATTTATTTAAACATTCATTCATTTATTTAAATATTAATTTATTATTAATTTAAATATTAAAAATTATAAAATATTCTTTTTAAATATGTGTTAATTAAGTATAAGTTAAATATAAATTTTAAATAAGTGTTAATTAAACTCAACAATAATTACAACGATTTTAAAGTCTTAATCAAATTAATCACAAACTCTTGATTTTGTTCGCAATTAGTGATCAATTTTGAGTCGTTTTGTAAGAAATTCATTAAACTCTCAATCGTTTGCCTTATATTCTCATCACTTGTTATATTTATATTAAAATAATTCACAATTAGTTTATTAATAGAAATGCAATATTTTTCGAACCAATTGTCTCTGATATTCACGGGAACCGACGACAAGTGATTGACCATAAAGTTGGCGATCAAAGTCCACAACCAAATCAGTTGATTATCGTTTAGATAACTTGTATTCACGGCACAGATGGCCGACACGGCGTATGATTGGACCTTATGGTTACGCGTGGTTTGCATCACATTCACCAAAGTATCCAAAATACTGTCAATCAGTTGATAATTACAGCCATCGACGGTCTGATTATCACCAAAACCGGTACTAACTCTCGGCAATTGTGTATCGGATCTGCAGAACTGGAGAAACAGATCCAGTTCTAGCAAATAGCCGAACGCTATGCAGATATTCCACTGGAGTTTGAAATTCTTGGACGCGTTCAAAGTAATCACAAATTTACCGATCAATTCGGTAAACAGTGGTCGAAATCTGTGGTCACTCTCGAGCGATGTCTGCCGCCGATGATCACAGGTTTGTTCCCGAATCAGTACCACATACAGAGCGGATCCCAACGAACGGACAAAATTAGTCTTAATGTTCTCCGATTGCATGGCGTTTGCGAAATGCAAATCAAAACAGTTTACATTGCATTCAATGAGTTTCACCATAAACTCGACGGTAATCTCGGAGCTGTTCCGGAGGTAGAACTTCTTGACGATGTCGCAGAAGTTGGCTAATGTCCACGACGTTTGATACAGCAACAGATGAGACAACTTTTTCTGGTGATACCCCTCGCGAAAGATGTCTAATATCTCGATCGCAAGCGTCGCCACGTCTGACAAGTAGTTGATGTCTTCGGTCATCGATGGGAACAACTGGTAGACACCCAGACATCGGATGGCAGCCGACTGGGCGTTCAGGTCTTCAGTGCTGGTGTTGTCCACGTTTCGCACGATTGATATCAGTATTGATATCAAATGAAACTTGAGTTTCGGATCAAACAAATCAAACACTTGGGCACTGATTGTGGACACAAAGTCAATGATCACACATTGGGTCGACTGCGGTATCGACGGGTCCGAGCATTTCAGACCCAAATCCACTAAACGAGACTTCAGGACACATACCCACCAACTCTTCTGCTGGTTCTGTGTCTCCGGTGAGTCTCTTCTCTTCAGATTAGTTCCCAAAACAAACAGGAATTTACAAAACAGACTCTGATTGACGAGATTCGTGACAAACACATCCATCTCCAGACACTCGAGCGCTATATTCATCAACAACTGGTCACTCAAATGGATCTCTTGGCGGTCCAGAAATGAGTCGACAATCGGCTTCTGTTTCATAATTGTGGTCAACAGTCGTAAGGATTCGCCGCAAAGTAGTATCGATTGGGAGCTGAGTATCGAATCGCACGAAAATTTCAATACTTTGTTCATTGTCTTCACGCCCGCATCGGTGGCCACAATCCACTCACGCATCTCATCGGGAAACGGGTCCAACTCGAAGACCTTCACCGCCAACGCCAGACACGAGTTTTGGATTTGAATGTCTTTGTGACACATGAGTGGTAGGGATTTGTCGCAAAGCGTCACCAGTAATCCATTCTTGAGTTTCTTATACGGACTGATTGTGACCAATAGTGACAGACATTTGAACGCCTGAACCAAAACAGCCGAATTGGTTTCGGCGAAGAGTATGGCGTTGAGTCCGGTGTGCACTTCGGCCACGATATGGGCCAACGATTGTGACAATGAGGTGAACGACAAGGGTTTGGCTTTAGTGCCGCTGTCGTCGGCGGCCAAAGTGGTTACGTATGGATTGCCAGTCATCAGCAGTTTGTGCAAGAAGTTGAGCGCCGATAGCCTGACTCGAAACGACTGTTCGCGCGGTATTGACCACAGGAGCGAACCGGGAGTCGACGACTGTATGAACGCCGACCAGAAGCCAAATATCACCCTTTTGTCAAAGAGGTTGACAGCCGTCGATAGGCTTTCGTACGATATAAGCCGTATTTTAGTATTGACCACAGGAGCGAACCGGGAGTCGACGACTGTATGAACGCCGACCAGAAGCCAAATATCACCCTTTTGTCAAAGAGGTTGACAGCCGTCGATAGGCTTTCGTACGATATAAGCCGTATTTTAATGGCCGCCGAGCGTTGGATCCGTTGGCCGTCAAAGTCGTGAACTGCCGACTCGTAATCGGACGACGAGAACTCGGAATCAGATGTCATCACTTTGACCGCTGAGGCCGACTCCGAGTGCAGAGTAATCGTCTCGTCGTTATCGTCGTCCAAGTCTTCGCTTTTGATGGCATTCTTTGTCTTTTTCTTATGTCTGTTCTTCTTATTCACAGAACCGGTCCTCTCATTGGATCCGTTGTCCATCAGATCTGAAGAGACAAATAGAGAGTAAGAAAAACAATGATAAATAAACGGCAAACCAAATGATCTGATCGTTGGCCACAAAAATACCGTTAAATTGAGCGAAAGGTGAGGGAAAGAGAGCCGATTGTCTCACTTTCGACACGTCATAGCCGGCGATGCCGTAAAAGGAGAAGCACTTGAGTTGACCCAAGAGTTGGCCACAGAATTGATTCAAATCCAGTGACAGTACGTTAAACTTGAACCGATTCAACAGTATGTATAGACAGCGAATCGTATTCAGGATCAAGTGATTGATGACAATTCCCTGATGACTGTTTGACTCAGTCTTTGCCAAACACTCCCGACACGTGTCTAAACTCTTCACGAGTCGATCCAATACGCGAAGAATCGCTTCGTTGTTATAGTGGTCGCTGAGGCTGTCTTTCAGCAGACATTTCACCGCTTTTATCAACAGATTCTGGCCGTTGAGGGCGTCAGTGATCAGTAGCTGATCCGCGGCGGTGACAAACACAGCGGACGCCAACAGGCGGTCCACTGTATCGACAAAACACAGACTTCGCTGCGGCGACGGATGGCGTCGATTGTAGTCCAATGTTGTCATCAATTGGTTCAACAGCTGGTGATAGTGTCGATAATGTCCGACCAACTGGTCATCGATGGCCAACAGTCTCACCACCAATGACTCAACAATTGTCTTGTAGTTGAGTCGGACGTACTCTTCGTTGCGTGTGTTGGCCATCAATTGTCTCAGCCATGGATCGGTCTGGTCTTCGGCGGTGACGGCGACAGAGCCGGTGATGTCCGCTGTCCTGTCCATCGGGTTCTTCGGCGGGTGTTTTGTTTTTGGTGACCAAAACACAAGTAAAATAAGCGTTAGTTTTGTGTGTTTTGTGACACAAATTGTGCGCAAATTGTGGACACGTTTTACATGTGTTTAAAGTGTGTCTTAAATGGCATTACTTTCACTCATTTCAATGTAAATGTCATTTAATTGAATGCCATTTAATTCACACGTGTTTTCAGTGTTTAATGGCTTGAGTTGTGTCACAACAACACAAACACAGGGATTGTATAGTAATTATTGCAGATTTCTAAAGGGTTTGTAACTTTTATTTGTATACTTTGTTTTAATTGTGCTGTCAATTAGTGTTTAGTGTAATTAGTTATTTGATTACAAGAAAGTGTTTGTATTTGTTTTATTAATTTGTAAGTTTTATTTATGCGAAACTTTTCAACTGTTCAATCGGTTTAATTGTTTTATAGATTTAATTGTTAATAATCGCGTGAATGGTCTAGGTTACAAATTAGTAATTGTCCATGGGGGCTTTAAATTTGAACTAAAAGTTTCCATAACTGTCTTAAATTGGTTAAATTAACCAATTTGATTTTACCAATTGTAATTTAATGATCTTTTATGAGTTAGATGTTAATAAAAATATAGTATTCATATACTGAGTGCTCATGAATTTGAGAAAACTTTTTTTAGTTTAAATTATTGAATTAAATTGAAATAAAGTATAGAAATATTGACAACAATTAAAACAAAAACACGATATTTTAGACAATTTGAATATTGAGTGCATTGTGAGGACTATTTTGTCAGTTATTTCACATTTCATTGAGTTTTTTGTCAGTTTTAGAGATTATTACAAGACTTTTGAATATCTTTTGTAATCGTTTGTGATTTACAGACATTTAAATATGAATTTAGTTTTAGTGCTAATTCTGGTCATAAATAGCGTTCAAAGCCATAGTATTTGTGAGTTTGTGTCCAAAGACGACAACTTTGTTGGTATTCAGGCATACCATCGATGGGTAAAAGAGGGCAACGATTACAAGGATCAGTACGTGATGTACAAGAATGGCAGCGAATGGCTGTTTCAGATCAAGTCTAAGGGCTCTGAAGTGATTGATATCCAAGTGTTTAACCAATCAATCGGTTTCACTGATAAAGAGACGATCAATGCTTTTGGTGTCAATAATAAAACTTCTGTCTACAACTGTTCCGTCAAATACGAGAAAGTATTGATTGAATGAATTTAAACTTAAATTAATTGCAATTTCTTTAAGAATTCGAACATAAATATTGAAATTCAATGCATTGACACAAACGGACTGAAAACCAATGGGGATTTCAAGTTGAAAACAAGTGCGGACTCAGCCGTCTTCGCACCGGTAGTCAAACCACCGTTTAATACAGTTCTTGTGCTCAACAAGAAGTCCAAAGAGGATTACTGTTATGAAGTGACTGCAACTAAAGTAAAACGCTTTGATTTAGAAGATTGTACGAAGACTACTATTCCCTCCTTTGTGGCCGATATCTCTGACTCCGACCGCCAGACCATCGATGCGGTCCTCGACTACAGCGAGGGATCAAATGTCGGACACCTATTGTTGATCCGAAAGTACAGTCGGCCCTACTATTGCTTCATACCTGAGGGCAAAACCTTTAGCCAACAGGTCTTAAACACTTCGCCTAATGTTTAATACAATTGAATAAAAAATTACAAAAATGACAAATCATTTCTATATTTAGTGCTCCGATTCTCGATTGAAGCCGTATTTGATTGACTGTTTCAGTTGGACTAATCCGTTAATCCTTTTGCTAAAAACGGTTGGAGTGATAGTTCTGGTGATTGTAATCATCATTACTTGCGTTTGTTGTGTCACTTTCCTTACGAGACATTATTCAGAAGCGAACCGAAACCGTAGACGGAGTCCAAGAAAGGCCTCCAAGAGAGACAAAGAAGCGACCACTCCTTTAACTGATCCCAACAAAAGTATAGACCCGTAGAGACACTAATGTTTGAAAAGTAAAACTCATTTCCAAAATTGTGATTTTATTTAGTTTCAAATGTTTCCCATGTTTTTTAAATGTCTATTTATTTTAAATCAACATTTTTCTTATTATTCATTCTTGTGTTGTATTTCTTATTTAATTTTATAAATCAATTGTCAAATTGTCAAATAAATATGTTTTTATTATTACATTTTTGTTTTTTTAATTTAGTATTAAAACACAAAATTTTTGATAATTTCAATAAATTTTGATGAATATTTTGACTGTTATTTCACATATTATTTACATTTTTTATTATTTTTAAAAGTTTGTTGTCAATTGGTTAATAAGGGTGTGAATGGTTAATAATAGTAATTGTCCATGAGTAGAAATTTCAATTAAAATTTTCATAAATGTCTTAAACTATTTAGCAAAAGGTTCTGATTTTATTAATTGTAATTTTAAACTATTTTTAGACTAAATGGAATTTAATAATATGGTATTCATATCGAGTGATCAAAAATTTGATAAAATTATTGGATTTAATTTAAATAATGTATAGAAATATTGACAACAATTAAAACAAAATCACGATATTTTAGACAATTTAAATATTGAGTGCATTTTAAGGCATATTTTTGTCAGTTATTTCACATTTCTTTGAGTTTTTTGTCAGTTTTAGAGATTATTACAAAACTATTGAATATCTTTTGTAATCGTTTGTAATTTACAGACATTTGAATATGAATTTAGTTTTAGTGCTAATTCTGTTCCTAAATAGCGTTCAAAGCCATAGTATTTGTGAGTTTGTGTCCAAAGACGACAACTTTGTTGGTATTCAGGCATACCATCGATGGGTAAAAGAGGGCACCGATTATAAGGATCAGTACGTGATGTACAAGAATGGCAGTGAATGGCTGTTTGAGATCGAGTTTAAGGGCTCTGAAGTGACTGATATCCAAGTGTTTAACCAATCAATCGGTTTCACTGATAAGCAAACTCTTAGCGCTTTTGGTATCAAAAACTATATTTCTGTCTACAAAGGCTGTTTGAGATCGAGTTTAAGGGCTCTGAAGTGACTGATATCCAAGTGTTTAACCAATCAATCGGTTTCACTGATAAGCAAACTCTTAGCGCTTTTGGTATCAAAAACTATATTTCTGTCTACAATTGTTCCGTTAAATACAGACAAGTATTGATTGAATGAATTTAAACTTAAATTAAATGCAAATTACTTTAAGAATTCAAAAGAAAATATTGACATTCAATGCAATGACACAAACAAACTGAAAGCCAACGGAGAATTCATGTTGAAAACAAGTGCGGACTCAGCCGTCTTCGCAACGGTAGTCAAACCACCGTTTAATTCAGTTCTTGTGCTCAACAAAGAGTCTAAAAAGGATTACTGTTTTGTTGTGTCTGAAACTGAAGTAAATTACGTTGTATTAGAATTGTGTCCTTTAAAATCACAAATCCCTCCGTTTGTGAACGACATCTCAGACTCCGACCGCCAGATTATTGATGCGGTCCTCGACTACAGCGAGGGTTCAAATGTCGGACACCTATTGTTGATCCATCGGGACAGTCGGCCCTACTATTGCTTCATACCTGAGGGCAAAACCTTTGGCCAACAGGTCTTAAACACTTCGCCTAAAGTTTAATACAATTGAATATAACTTTAAAAAAATACAAACCATTTCTATATTTAGTGTTCAAACGGATTGAAACGCTATTTGACGGACTGTTTTAGTTTGACTTTCTGGGAACGTTACAAGACAACAATTATTATATGGATTATTGTGGTCATTGTGTTGTTGATCTGTGTTTGCATTGGGTTAGCATTGTGGTTGTATAAGCGGCAAGGCTCTGAGCCTACGGGTGGTCAACCAAGTTCATCGGTAAACCCAGACTTTACTACCGAGCAAACAACGTCCGGGTAATTTATTTTAGAGTCTAGTAATAGTTTTTTAAATAATACTAAACGACAGACAATTTTGTTTGTCTTAATATTTGTGACAATTTTCTAATTGCTATTTATTTGTAACACAAGTCATACGATTGTTGTATTAATTCTTGTGTTGTATTCAATATTAATGTTAAATATGTTTTTTATATATTATAAATGGTTGAAAAAGCGGACCCAGTGTTGATACTAAGCCATCAGAATCTAGAAAAGTTGGTGTTATACGAACCAAAGTGTAAGTGATTTACAAATTAAACTTTTTTAGATTTTATTAAACGACAAACAATTGTTTGTTTCAATATTTGTCCTCATTTTCTAATTGCTATTTATTTTGTAACACAAGTCATACGATTGTTATATTAATTCTTGTATTGTATTCAATATTAATGTTAAATATGTTTTTTATTTATTATAAATGATTGAAACAGCGAACTTTCTCCTTTCGATATTGACATTGCAATCCCAGACACAACCACAAAGCGATTGGATAGCAATTAGCAACACATCAAAGACCACATCAAAGACTAGACCAACTAAATAACTATTTATAATTTAGTTGCAAATGATTTTCATATCCAATACTAACTATATTTGTAGCAATTCTTGTTCTAAATTATTATTTTAATTATTTATTATAAAGCAATAAGTTTTGTATTGTATTTATTATTTATATTAGTTTTTATGTTTCATTTATTTTGTTTGTTATTTTTGTATTTATAAATAGTTTATTATATTTACAATTTAGTTAAATTTATTGTTGTATTCACTGATTAATTGATTAAAATTTTAAACATTTTATAACAGAGATTTTTACACAAAGAAACAACTTTCAAAATTTGAAATAACTTTTAATCAATTTTTAAGTGTTTCAGAGATTATCGCTAATTGTGTCCATTGTTTATGGTTTCACTTAAAATCACATTTGGTTTATATTAATGAAAATATTTTGGGTTTCAATAAATTCATTATTTTTACGATTCATTTACTATCAAAAATGAGATAATTTGGTCAATACTATGATCTTAATTTATCAAAACTATTAATAATTATAACATTAATACATTTAATCTAATCT